ATCTCAGAACCCGAGTATTAGCTTTCAACTTTTGATCTTACTAGCTCTTGCTATTTTTTTCCATGTGTTAAGTTAAATTTCTAGTGCTTATTTGTAAGTTTTAGGTTACACTCTTTTTTTGGCGAATCACACAAGTACAGACGCACATGCTCAACACGCACGCACACTCACCCTTGTGCCGGCACATCTCTAGATTGATGAAGTCATCACAGTCACCTCGTCGTCGAGGAGAACGTTGCCTATCACTGAAAGCGCAACGCCGTTAAATCCTGAAATAAATTTAGGAAAATACGAGCACATGTGTCGAGTCGAGGACTTAACCCAGGTGGACAGGTTCCACCACCAGAAACCTAACCAACTGAGCTAAGCTCAGTTCACTTTTAGGTTACACTCTTAATTACTACAATGACATAAATACACACTTAATCCCCTGTCAAAAAAAAACAACCTGTAGCCGAGACGCTTGTGCACGAGATCCCTCTGCAGCCCCTGCCTTCTCTCCTTCTAAAATTGAGAAATGAATAAAATAATTAGTGCACTATCTTATGGTAAATAATCATAATTTTATAATGGTACTCGGTAAATTTTAACATTTGCTGTGAATCGACCAATATGATATTTTTTCGATGTCTCACAGCAAAAGTTGTCTATTTATGTATTTTTTATGGTTTATGTGCTATCATATTTTAATAATCCATTATCACGGCACAGATGAATTTTTTTTATATAATATGAATAGGTTCGATGGCTATTATTGATGATAATGGTTAGAGTCTATATTAAATAAAAGGCTAAGTATTTCTAATTTTTGAGGAAATATCACACGGTTTTGCTAATATTTCTAACGGTAGTGCTAGCGCCCGTATGTCCGGACGGACGCGCGCGTCATAACGCCACGCCTGCACTCCGCCCCCGCGCCAGCCCAACCCGGCGTCTGCGCCCCCGCCCGACCTCACGTGGCGTCTGCGCCTCCCCCGACCCCTCGCGCCCCCTTTAGTAGCTGCAGCAGCAGGCGGGTGACATTGCAACATGTGCAACACCCGTTCTACTTCTAAAACATCCAGATGCAATACATGCAACATTTGTCTGAAGACAGATGAAACACTTGAAACATGCTTCTGAAACACTTGCAAAAAAAACCTAAAAACGCTTGAAAACCATTGCAAACATACGTAACATCCAGATAAAACACTTGCAACACATATGTGTGGACCATATGCAACATCCACATAAACACACTTGCAACATACGTCTAAAAACACAAATGAAACATTGAGGACAGACGCTTGCAACATACGTGGCAACAATTGCAGCATATGCAACATCTATGATCTAATTATGCAACATCCGTATGAAACACGTGCAACATACCTCTGAAATCATCTGAAACACTTAAAATATACACTTGCAATGTGTGCTTTCAGCGCAACATCTCCTTGTTGTTTGGAAGAATGGAGACTCATCGGCGTGCCGGAGGCAGCGGCCCGCGCGTCGCTTGTAGGCAGCTAGCCGGCGTTGGTGGGGAGGCAGCGGTCCGCACGACTGAGAGAGGGCAGCCGCACGCCGTGCCGTCCTCAACACCGCCTGGTGGTCATCCTCGAGATCCAATAGGTCCGAGGCCTACGGCGTCGAACGCCAAGAGGAGGAAGCGGAGGATGTACCCCAACAGCAAGAGGAGGTGGAGCAGCTACTTCAGGAGCACCAGCTCTGAGTAGCCCACCGGGAAACCCATGTCAGCCGCGACCGAGGCAGTGCTTGTCCCGATTTGCTGGCTTTTCTTGGCGTGTTCGTGCCTCTTGGCTTTCGACGGTGATGGGCATTGCCCCTCGAGCAGATAGGAATGAGTGGACGAGAGGTAGGAGCCACTGCGCGAGAGGATTTTTTTTTTAAACTCCTGAATGGATGGAATGAGATAGTTGGGCTAGCGTCGTAGCGCACCAAAGAGCGTCTAGGCGGACAAACGTCCGCATGACATTATTACCGTATTTCTAATTATCAGAATTTTTATAATTTATATTTTCCCCAATACGTGTAGTGAGAATTAAGTCAATTAACGTGGAAGGTGGGACCTCTAGTAACGTGGAGGACTGGAGGGCTACTTTGGGATCTCTAAGTAAGATTATTATGGTGAATGACGTACGACTGCTGTAGCAGACGAATTTCCCAACCAACTGTGCCAAACTGCCCGTGGACATATACATTATACAGCAGCACCTTTCTTGGTCCTCCATTACGCTTCGTATTTGCAGATTCGGAGCATTTAGCTATTGTAGTTACTTTGGCTTACTGCAAGTACAACACATGCCTTCGTTCAAATGTTAAGAAATTATCGCATAACATTCATAAAAATAATTAAAATTAAATAAATGCATCCATTGGAATATCCGAACTCTAGGCCGGATTGAGGTAATAATTAAAGGGGAAATGTCACACGGTTGGCGATTCAGCAATTCACCCATTGATTGCATACATTGACTATCTATTCACAGAAACCTTATTACACAAACTTATGTGGCTACTTGCTTTAATTTACCATTGAAATCGTCACACAGCACAATCTTTCTGTGGGTACGTTTCGGATGGGCGATAAGGACGAGACGAGAGCTTTCCCTTCACACTTTTGGGTCTTTGCTGGCCTGCCGCTCCCAATTTGCATCTCGATGGAAACCAATCACATTACATGCGCCATATATACTTCTCTCATTCAAAGCAACAGCCAACAGGAACTAATAACATGAATGCATATATTATGTAGCCTTCCCTTCTTCCTCTCCCTCTCTATGAGCACTATCCACGCATAACGCATTCTCCTCAGCATTGTTAGTTCCTTGCACGCTAGCTAGAAAAGCTCTCTCTCTCTCTCTCTCTCTCTGGCTCATAGGGATGATGAAGGAAAGGCAATGCAACGTCCTAGTAGTGCTCCTTCTTGTTCTGCTGGTCATACCACAAGGATGCAGAGCGCAAAGCAGTGAAAATCTGACGAGGAACAGCTTTCCTAAGCGATTTGTTTTCGGCACTGCTACTTCTGCGTATCAGGTTGGATTCTTCCATAGGTGTGGTCTTAGAGATGATTTCAATTATTTAAGAGGCCGGGTTTTAATTATCGGTGTAGGGTAGTGATAGATCGAACATGAATTATTCGTTTTGATAAAATATGACCAACAATCGTTTGCTCCAAAATAAGAAAGAAGAAAAATCTTGTGTCCTCTACATGCAAGGTGTCAAGATTGTCCTGACTCATCTTGTACGCGAAAAGATGAGACGGTGAAAGCTAGTAATATTGCTTGGCTCGAGTTGCATGACATGTTGATACTGTTTGAGAGCTCTTTCTTTTTACTATTCTTGTGCCTCTCTTTTCTGGTGCCTATAGAACATTATATAGAGCGGTCTAAGGGAGATCAGCAGTATAAGTACTCCATCTGTTTCTTCTTATAAGGTGTATTAAGATTTGAGAAAGTATTTAGAAGAAATTTGCTTTGATCATTAGTTACTCCTATAATATATGTCCTCAATTTCTACAAAATTGATTCTTACAAAAAAGTTATGTGAAATGTATACCTATTAATACAACTTATATACTATGTATATAATTTTATTAGTCATTGGTCAAAAGTTATGAACTTTGACCTATTTTTTTAATCCTAATGTACCTTACATTTTGAAACGGATGGAGTGGTAAATACTAATGGTGAACAAGTTCTTTCTTCTCTACCTTCTCTTTCTGATGTGTCTTAAAGAATAATAGCAAATGTCAAAAGTGTTAGACTATATTGCTAATATCTCCATATATGAATTATATAGATAGGATCATAATTCTGATGTATATCTAAGGGAGACTACTTGCCCCTAAGCTACTCTTATATAATTCGTCCACAAGGATTAGCAATACAATCAATTATTCTACCAGTTCTAGTCTCTAAAAAGTTATCCCACAGTCACAAGAAGGATCACAATGATCAAACAAAAATTGGAGAAATTTACAGTAACTTCATTTAGAAGAATGAATGACTGTAATAAAAATCAGACATTAAAGATACTTTTCCTGCTACTATAGGATTTTTTTTTCATTGTAGAGGGCCCATAGTATCTTGGGATTTTCTGTCAACCAATTTTTCTGCATCATCTGTCAATAATCGATCTTATTTATCAATATGCCTAATTATTCTTCCACAAAAATAAAAGGGCAGTTTCAAATTACATATATTATTTAGACGTGGATTTCCATTAATAAAATAAATATCTTAGCAATTTAGTAAATCATAGTTATATATTTACAGCAGTTACTTGTTTGTGTAAACAAACGACAGTTAAATGATTGAGTTGAGTGCTTCTATTATTCTTCCATATGCAAGCTGGAGACACTTTTGTTACTCAGAAACTATAAGCTTTACCTGAATGCGTCACTTATGACTCATTCTATGTGTTCAAATCAGGATAAAGAAACATGGGCACTCGCCATCTGTTACACTTAGTCACAATTTTTCCAATAAAGGAAGTTTTATTGATCTCTCAGTCAATTACATCCAAAAAAAAAATAGCATATAAGATCACTCTCGAATCTACACTGCTAGACTCATTCTAAGTGTTCAAATCAAATAAAAGATATGACAAAATCTATCATCTCGTTACAAGCTACTACACAATTTTTAATAAAGGAAGTTTTATAAAAGCACTCCAGAAATTACATCCCAAAAAATAGCACATGATCACACACACACCGTCATTGCAATGGTCCAATCAGAGGTCAACAATTCTCACCGTGGAATAAAATTCCTCGTAAAAAAGATGCCTTCAAAAAGGCACCGTTTGGATCATTTTTTGGCAGCAAGCTACTACACAAAGCGTAGTCTTATTAATATTTTAATCAAAGTCTAATTAGAAATAATTCGTCCAAAAGGATTTGACACAAACAGTGCACCATTTTTTTTTTGGTTATAATTAATGTTTCATCAAGCCACAGATTCTCACCGTGGAATTTTGAAAATTTGGTATTTTGGACAATGCCTAAACAGGTTCAAAGTATTGACAGGTACAACCAAGCCAAGGTCAAACCTAGGGGGAAAGTAAAATATGCCCTTAAGGGCATGTACTCTCCTGCCGTATAAAAATGTTAGTGACAGATGTAAAACGCATGTGAAATGGGGGGAGTTCTCTGTGTACAGGTTTGACATTTACATCAGCTTTTTATTCTATTTCTATTTCTACAGTATGAGGGAGCAGTCAAGGATGATGGAAGAGGACCTGCTATTTGGGACAAATTTGCTCACACATTTGGTAACTTTGAGTCTCTGTTTAACCATGGTTAATATATGTATAGGATTTTTTCAGGGCTCTTGGATGAGGATTCAGTTTAAATGATGCAAAGCATCCAATTTACCTGAAATGGAAATTTAACTGACAAGTTTCAAATCTGTTATGCACTCGTACCACTACATAATTTCCAATCCATTGAAATGTACTCAATCCATCACAAATTGTAAGACGTTTGACTTTTTTGACACCAAGTTTGACCACTCGTCTTATTCAAAATTTTGTGTAAAATATCACTTCTTTCGTCGTGGTTTGGTTTATTAATAAAAATTCTTCAAGAATGACTTAAATTTGACTATATTTGCACAAATTTTTTAAATAAGACGAGTGCTCAAACTTGGGGCCAAAAAAGTCAAACGTCTTATAATTTGGGATGGAGGGAGTATATGGCATATACTTTGGATGTTTCCAGACCCATGAATTTGGTTTGAATGAGTTTGGGACACAAAAAAATGTTTTAGCTAGTAGGCTAGTAATACTACTAGCATCAATATAACTATCTTTCATGAAGCCTACAGAGACTTGATGTGGATGAAACAATAGAAAGGGAACAATTTGCACTTCGCTCTTTTGTAGTTGGGAGATTTATAACCCTGTTATTCAACATTGTAAGGCAATTACTTATGTTATTTGCCCTTGTGCAGGAAAGATCATTGACTTTAGCAATGCTGATGTGGCAGTCGATCAATACCACCGTTTTGAGGTGAAAACTATTAACGAGCACTCATACTTTATTGTAGACAATTTATTTATGTCCAATGCTCACACAATCTAAAATTCTTCTTGATATATATTACTAATTCAGGAGGATATTCAACTCATGGCAGACATGGGAATGGATGCATACAGATTTTCAATTGCATGGCCTAGGATTTTCCCAAGTATGTGTTTCAGGCTTTGCCAAACTATACTCTATAAGCAGTTCTATGCAATCCTTATACTTTTGAACTCTGAATTATCGAAGATGAAATCAGCACACCAACAGTGATATCCTAATATTTTTCCTCAGATGGCACTGGCGAGGTTAATCAGGCAGGCATTGACCACTATAACAACCTGATCAATGCTTTGCTTGCAAACGGTGAGCATAAAACATCGCCACACTTAAAATAAAGATTTACAAATTCTAGTTACAAGACTGAACTTGTGGCTTTATCAACGTAACTCCTTAATCCAGATTAGCTCCAAAAGTCTTGACAGGTGAAACATTCTTGCAGGCATAGAGCCCTACGTAACACTGTATCACTGGGACCTTCCCCAGGCCCTGGAAGACAAGTACGCTGGGTGGCTTGATAGGCAGATAATGTGAGTCACTGTCACACACTCTCCATAGTCCATAGATTTGAATCAAGCCTCTCGGAGCTTCAGTTGTACTGTACGTATCTAGCATGATTAGCCACTCATAATCACACTGTTATATATCGCCCGAATATAATGCAGCAATGATTATGCGGTGTACGCTGACGTGTGTTTCAAGGCGTTCGGAGACAGGGTGAAGCACTGGATAACCTTCAACGAGCCACACACCGTTACAGTTCAGGGCTACGACTCCGGAATGCAGGCACCAGGGCGCTGCTCGGTGCTCCTCCATCTCTACTGCAAGGAAGGCAACTCAAGTACTGAACCCTATATAGTTGCTCACAATATCATTTTGGCTCATGCCACAGTTGCAGACATTTATATGAAGAAGTACAAGGTCTGAAGTATCTGTTTTTTCATTTGAAATTTAAAGCTGTATAGCACAAATAAAGCATATATCGACAGTGTATACATATGTTCTGCTCTCTGCAGTACACTGACTGTAACAAAGTGGAATAGTGTGAAATCAAGCTTTGGACTTAGTGTTGAGATCCGATTTTTATGCAGGCAACACAGAACGGACAGCTGGGGATATCTTTTGATGTCATCTGGTATGAGCCGATGTCAAACACCACGGCAGATGTTGAAGCGACAAAGAGGGCACAAGAATTCCAGCTAGGATGGTGAGGTTCATCAACACATTATTCTGCTCACAAATTCCCAACACAAGACTTTCCTGAATCTAAGTTGTATACAGCAGTATCATGAACATATATAATGTAGCTCTTAAATTCAGACTTGTATGTTTGTGGTGAAGTTATTTGCTAAGATGATAGATTGATCTGAAACTGAAGGTTTGCGGATCCTTTCTTCTTTGGTGACTACCCGGAGATAATGAGATCGAGGGTCGGAAACAGGCTGCCCAAGTTCACAGCTGAAGAGGCTGCTCTTGTGAAGGGGTCGCTGGACTTCATGGGGATTAATCACTACACCACGTTCTACACGCAGGATGACGAGTCCACTGTCGTTGGGACACTGCTGAATAATACCTTGGCAGACACAGGAACCATTAGCCTCCGTAAGTTGGCATCATCTTTTGTTCAAACTTAATTTTTTTGTCTCCCTGAATGATTGCATGAATGGTTTTTGCTGACATATTAATGCCTTTCACGTTTTTTCAGCCTTTAGAAATGGGAAGCCAATCGGGGACAGGGTGAGTTCTGACTTTCAGCAAAAACATGACTACGATATGACAGACAGCCTGTTCGGTTGGTGGTTGATTCGTATCGTTGCTGGTTTGTTTATGTGAGAGAGAAGTACTGCTGGCTGGTTCGCGTGAACAGTGTGATTGTGAGAGGGCTGGCCAGCCAGCCCAGCCCAGCCGATCGGGCTGAGAATTTCTCTTGAACTTATCAGCCTGACTTATCAGTCAATGGAACAGTGTTTTTCTCTCACAACAAATCAGCTTCAGCCGGCTTATCAGCCGCAGAAACCATCAGCCGAACATCTTCTGAGAATTCTAAGCTGCAGCACTGCTTTTCTTTCTCTGAGCTTACTGTATATATGACCTGCAAATTCACCACACTGTTCTCCATGCAGGCTAACTCGATATGGCTATACATTGTACCTGGCAGCATGAGGAGCCTAATGAACTATGTCAAGGACAGATACAACACTCCACCGGTGTACATAACAGAAAATGGCAAGTACAGACGTCTCTCGCGAGACAAATAAAATTGTTGTCACTTCAGACATTTTAGCTTGCAATCTCATTAAAATTTGGGCCATTGATATTTGTAGCACTCAGTGTACCGAAAAACAAGAAATTAATGAAAATTTCCCTGTTGATTTAGGAATGGACGATAGCAACAGTCCCTTCATCTCCCTGAAGAATGCACTCAAGGATGACAAGAGGATAAGGTACCACAATGACTACCTGACAAATCTAGCTGCCTCCATCAGGTACTAGTACTACTCATTTATCTTACAGTCACCAGATCGATACAAAACTAACGGTGGAATACAACCCAAGTTATGAAAAACAAGGTCTGCTCACCATTGACAATGCAGGGAGGATGGCTGCGATGTTAGAGGTTATTTTGTGTGGTCTCTTCTCGACAACTGGGAGTGGACCGCTGGATACACCTCGAGATTCGGGTTGTACTTTGTGGACTACGACAACAATCTCAAGAGATACCCAAAGAACTCAGTGCTGTGGTTCAAGAACCTGCTGGCCTCTTCTTGATGCAAGTTTGGTGGCTCATTTAGAGGTCCACGTGGTTGCTCCTTCAGATCCTGTAAGCAGTGTTTTCTAGCGATTTGTCCTATACCCTATATATGCATTGGTTGTATAGTGATTCTGTGCGATATGTTGTACTCGCTCCATACCTAAATGTAAATATTTGATTTGAATATTTGATTGAAGGTTCAAAGTTTATCCATAAACATAAGCATTTCTGGGTGCAATGAACTGTCGGCACTAATCAAGGTGTACTGTGACCGGTGCAATTTCTGACATTAGCCTATCTCCAAAACCATACCTTCCAGCTTTATAAACCGGATGCTCTGGTCTTTCAGGATTGCGTAGTCTACCAATTTTTGCTGTCTCACCAAATCGACACAAAAGATTGAGAGAGAAAGAAAAAGGAAGCTTTTGCCTCTGAAATAATGTGCCAAAGAATCCTCTGTAAAATCCTACGGCTCACTAATCACCAACGGAATAAGTGGATGAAATGTGTAGCACATTGACACACTAACGCGAGCCCACTGTGGTGCCGCCGGATCGCGCCGGCAACGGCGGGCACTCCGGGCGCGGCGGCTGCGGCAGTGTCGTCCACACCTCAGCTCGGCAGAGCGGGCACGTCCCGCGCGCCCTGAGCCAGCCGTCGACGCCGCACTCCGCGTGGAAGAAGTGGCCGCACGCCGAGACCACCCGCACGAGCTCGCCCCCCGCCTTGCTGTTGCTGCTGGCGAACTCCGACAGGCAGAGCGCGCACCGCGGGGCCATCCTCCTCGTCCGCGCGGACGCGCTCCCGCCGCTCTTCCCGGCCGCCAGCCGCGCCTGCTCGTACGTCACGAGCGTGGCGTCCCCGAGCGCGCGCTCGACGTCGTGCACCGCGGCGCCGCCTCCGCCGCCGCCTGGACGACGGCCCGGTGGCCCTCCGCCGCAGGCTCCCGCGGACGCGGCGACGACGATGGCCACGATGAGCGCCGCGAGGACCACCGCCGCGGCGACCGCGATCGCGGAGGCGGCGTCGAGGCTCATGCTCGCAGAACGCGAGGGACCGCACGACGCGTGCTGGTTTTCTTGGTACGCTCGGCGTTCTTGCTGCTGCAGTGCTGGTGGTATATAGCCAGCTCGTTTGACAAGGGAGAGAACGAGACGAGAGAGAGCGATGGGTGTTGTTGTTCCTAGAAAGTTTCAGAAAGCTTCCTCCTTTTCTTGCGGCGCGCAATTGTATTTACGTCAAACCTTGGGTAATTCGAAGGGCCTTTCCATTGCAGTGCAGCGCAGGGCTAGAAAGAAAGCCTTCCTTCCCATTTGGTTTCTTCTCTAGAATGCGCTGCACCTGCCGGCGTTTTGTGCGGTCGTTTGACTCCTGAGTACTTCGGCGCGAAACCTTGAGAAATTCCGTGCTGTCCATGTCCGAATCCACCGTGTTTCATTCAAATGCGACCGCCCTTGCCCCCTGGACAGGTACGGAGGTCGGCTGGAGCGGAGCCTGACGAAAGTGACCAAGACAAAGGGCAAGTTCGACTATTGGAGTGGAGGCCATTCATTGTGTGATAAGTCATCAGTCCGTTCCGTCGGAGTTTTCCTGGCGATCTTGCGACTGCACTGCGCCGTACTTTCCTCGAGAAAACGGGGATCAGAAATTCAGAAATTGAACGCGTCCAGCCGCCCAGGGCCCGGTACTTTCACCTGCATCTCCTACGACAACGACGGCCACAGCCACAGCTTGTCGATTAAGGCCTCGAGAAAGAATCGGGGATCAGAAATTCAGAAATTGAACGCGTCCAGCCGCCCAGGGCCCGGTACTTTCACCTGCATCTCCTACGACAACGACGGCCACAGCCACAGCTTGTCGATTAATTTGATGCACGGGGACGGGGACGGGGCACCGGACAATCAATGTTAGAGTCACATACAGAATAGTTGCAGATCATCAGTGCCACACTGGCACACTTGGCACTGGCACGAATCGTTAGCACTTAGCAGCGGTTTGTCAATTGGTAGTAACCGCTCCAAAGCATCATGAATAACTAGTAGCTACGGTTCCCTTTTACTTTTTTTTTTTGATCGGATTCCCTTTTACTTGGCGCCCCAACAAACAGGCGAACAGCAGTTTCCTTCTCTTTCGTCGCGCGCATTCGGCCATCGCAGTCGCACCCAACAAACAGCGGTGGGCATCAATCCACGATGGGGACGCTCGGCGCGGCGGCCATGGCCACGCTCATGATCGCCGTCGTCCTTCTCACCGTCCACGCGGCGCCGCCCACGGTGGCGACAGACCACGTCGTCGGGGGCTCGATGTGGTCCATCCCGCTGCGCGACGACCTGTACCTCTCCTGGTCCTACAACACGACGTTCTACGCCGGCGACAACCTGGGTGAGCCCTTGGGATTCTCCTGCATTGCGTTCTGCAACAGCACTCTACTGACGCCACCACATCCGCGTTCAGTTTTCAGGTTCCCGATTGGGTTCTACGACGTGGTCCAGGTGTCGAGGAGGGAGTACGAGGACTGCACTGCCGACGACCCCTACAACATCAACAACTTCCGCGTCCCACCGGCCGTCGTCCCGCTCGACTACAAAGGCATGCGCTACTACGTATGCAGCGTCGGCAACTACTGCAAACTTGGCATGAAGTTCCATGTCACGATCCAACCACGCTAGCCTGCTCACCATTTCTTCTTCATTCATCCGCAATGACTATTGTTTCTCAACAGTCAACAGTACATTATAATCTGTAAGTCCGTATTTTCAGGCATCATCAATCAGACCATTCCAATATCGCTACTGATTAGCACTCGATTAGAAATTAAACAAATAAAAAATGTGCCGATGTGCAACAGCGATGTCATTCACACATCGATGCAACAGACATTGCACCCATATGTGCGTTATACAGTAGCATTCCACAAACATTAAGTGTCCACGTATATATATTGAAACCATCACTCTAGCAAATCTCACAAACAGAAGTCAAAAGGTAGCCAGCTATGCCCGGGTAGCATTTTTCAGTTGGAGCAAAAAGGATACATTCCCCGCTTGCAGGGGTAGAATCAGCTTCCTATTTCGCATCTCAGCGACAGCAAAACCAGAGACCACTCTCGCACTTGAAGCGCAACCCTGCCAATAGTCTGCTTACTGTTGCGCGCACTGTACTCTTTGGGCTCCACCCGGCATCTCGTCATCCTCCTCGTACGCCTCCTGGGCAGCGTGAGCTTGCTTCCTGCGCATCTCTTCCTCGATGTTGTTCACGTCATGCATAGTCGTCTCCTCGCATTCATCTATCTCCATGTCGGTCAGCTTGGATGAAGACCTTGGTGGAAGTACTGCCTCGAGAGCCTTGCACTGCTCTGGTGCCAGAGAGTCAGGGAACTCCACCGTGAAATGAATGTAGAGCTTCCCCTTCATGAAAGGCCTCTGGTAAATTGGCATCCCCTCGTCATTTATCGCCTTGAATTGGTCTGCTCAAATTTTTCAGACAGGGATTAGCAACAGATACAACTGCAGAAGCACAAAGTGACAATTGAGATCTACGAGAGAAAGGGCTTACCAGGTTTAACAACTTCACCAGGGTTTGATTTGATGAGAAGCTGCCTGTTGTCCAGATGTGTAAGAACAAACTGGAACCCACAGAGAGCTTCGGTCAGAGACAAGGTGTGTTCATAAAAGAGATCTTCACCCTTTCTTTTGAACTTGGAGTGATCCTTCTGCTGGAGGACAAATACAATGTCTCCAGTGACGGTATCAGGCTGCAAGTAACATAACATATCAATATAAATTTTGAAATCATAAAAAGGCAACCTCTAGATCTTATCACACTGATGCTTAAGCAAGCTTACCGCTTCATCAGCTTCACCAGGGAAGGTGATCTTCTGGTTGTGTTGCATCCCCTTCTCAACATGAACCTCAAGAACCTTCTTCTCTTGAACAACCTTCTCACCCTTGCACCCTGGGCAGCGATCCTTCTCATTGATGCTCTCTCCAGTCCCCTTGCACTCGTTGCAAGGCTGCTGCATCTGCTGTATCATGGAAGGCCCCAGCTGGCGGATAGTGACTTTCATGCCTGAGCCCTGGCAACCAGGGCACCTCATTGATGCACCAGACTTCGAGCCCTTGCTGAAAAAAGAAGAAAGCATGCTCAACCAAAGGTTTTGGAAAAATGATTCGATTATTTGGGAAGGTCAAACAGAACTAACCCCTTGCACTTGGAGCAGATGACATTGCGCGAAAGAGAGAGCTTCTTTGAGGTGCCATTGTAAAGATCTTCCAGAGAAACTTTAAGTGGGTGAACTACATCTTCTCCCCTCCTTTGCCTTCTTCCCCTGCTGCTTCCACCACCTCCTGTGAAGATAACATATAAAAGCCAGTTATCACATTGGTAAAGGAGCATAAAAAAAAAAAAAGTCACAGATGAATATGGGTAGCACCAGGGAATACCTCCAAAAGAGGGTCCAAAGAATGATGAGAAGATGTCAAATGGATCAACATGGGCTCCTCCACCGCCCATTCCTTCCTTAAGAGCATCTTCACCATACTGATCATAAATCTCACGCTTCTCTGGGTCGCTCAGAACCTCATAGGCTTGTGCGAGCTCCTTGAACTGAAATGAATTAAAAATAAAGCTTTTACTCTAAAAATCATGGATCAAAATAGAAATTTAGCAGACATACTGAATCAGTTGAGGAAGGGAACAGATATTTTTACATCTGTCACTTTTATATATTTTTGTTACTAAACAAAATTATCATTGTATAAGCCACCACTATTATGATATACAAAATAAGCAAGTAAGAACTGGAAAAATAGTATAGCATGCAAAAAAATTATTACTGGCACAAATAATGTGGTGGAAACGCATATGTAACAGCTGTAAAGCACAAAAAGTTTTAGTATACAACACCAAAAAAAAAGCTAATGATCTCCAGGTGATTATACCAAACAGGCAAACCTTGTCTTCTTTACAAGATAAGAAATCGCATAGGCTGCATAACAGACAGATAAAGCACGGGAACATACAAAAGGGCAATCAAAATATTCATTGGACGACAAACCAACTATAGACCACTGCATGCTTTTATCTGCCATTCAATGTGACATCAACGCCTGCAATGATTTAAACCATGACTACAAGGACAAGGATAACTTCCCTACGTGAAACTATCAACAGGGGATTCAGCCATGTCTCGTCCCACATGATAAAGTAGGTTACTAAAAACGCTACACCACTGTCGTCTGCTAACAGTTGAGTGAGTTTATTTTCCAAGACATTACACATAACACATCGTATCCGAGGGTAAAGTAAACAGATATTGAACATCTTCTGGGTGACCACAGATACCACATTGAAACATCCAGGTGACGAGAAAGATAAGCTTCCCATGACAATATAACACCACCATTAGAGTAACAAAGCTCGGGAGAAATGTTTTATAACCACCATGCATCTTGGTTACTATGTAACGATTTAACCACAACTTGAACCGCTATAGCTCTTGACAACCCCAATTGACAGCATATTTCACCCAATAAAACAAATCTACTATGCAATAGTTAGTTGTCACAAGAGCAACCTCCAGCACAAAATGAACAATGCAGGCACTGCTAAGAAAATGATGAAAACACCAACTACAAATGTTTAACCCTGAACCAGCTGCGGAGCTGCCTGTCATCAAAAAGAAAAGACTAGCCAATATACATGTGTGAAGTGAATTATAACACATGCCCACGAGAACCCCACATGGCATGCAAGCTAAAAAGCTGTTTTCTTTCACCTGCATAGGATTCTGAACGCAGCAAGCACATGGAGATGGTTCTCACAAATCCCCCACACAACTAAGGTTGCAATCACGGTAACACAACATGACCACGGATCAGCCGCTGCAAACCTAGCGCATGCAACACGAACTACCGATTGCAGCTGAACCACCTACAGAAGCATCAACGAATCTACCGAACGATCATGCCATGGAAACAGGACGAGGAACCTCGAACCTAAACATCAAGATCAACACGCAACCCTTCCTAAACCACCTATAGAAGCATCAACGAATCTACCGAACGATCACGTCATGGAAACAGGACGAGGAACCTCGAACCTAAACATCAAGATCAACACGCAACCCTTCCTAAAGGTAAATCTACCAAACGCAAAGGCTGCCCTGAACCTCAATCTACCGCAACGGATCACGCGCGCCAGATCGGATCAAGGCCAGATCGCAAAGAGGGGAGAGGGGATCGGGGGGTGGTCCGGACCTTCTCGGGGTCACCGCCCTTGTCGGGGTGGTTCTTGATAGCGGCCTTGCGATAGGCCTTCTTGAGGTCGTCCTGGGACGCCGACTTGGGCACCCCGAGGATCTCGTAGTACTTGGTGTTGTCGCTCTTCTTCGGCGCGCGCCCGAACATCTTGCCTTTGCCGCCGCCGCCGGTGCCGCTCGCCGATGCGGGATACAACCTCGCCGCCGCCGCCGCTCCTGCGGGGGAGTGGGGTGGGGAGGAGCAGGAGCGGAGGGGAGGGGAGGAGGCGGTCAAAGCTGGTGGCCGAGCGGAGTGGGAAGCGAGAGGGTTTGCCACCGCCGATACGCGTTGGTTAATGTAGTCGGGTCTGTAGACGACCGCGAGTACGTCAACGCCGCAGCGGACGCGTATTCTCGGTGCTGGGCTAGCAGAATGGGCCCGAATGGGTCAGGGCTCAGGGCCCGGGGCTTTCCATTGCTTTACTGCACTTTCACTTTCACACACGTGCTTCGTGCTTGTGCAAATAATTGTGGGCCTTGTTTAGATTGAAAAAAATTTTAACCCGATGAATAGTAGCACTTTCGTCTTATTTGGTAAATATTGTTCAACCGTGGACCAACTACGCTCAAAAGATTCATCTCGTGATTTCCAACTAAACTGTGCAATTAGTTATTTTTTTTATCTACATTTAATGCTCCATGCAAACGGCTAAAAATTGATGTGATGGAGAGAGAGTAAAAAAACTTGAATTTTGAGGGTATCTAAACAAGGCCGTGGTTTGGTTTCCATGTGGAGGACAGGAGGAGGAATAGAACGAGTTTGGTCGAACCAAATGTTCCACGACCATAGCCGCAACCGCAATTAATCACAATCAGTCGTGTGATTACATATTTCAGATAATAAGAAGACTACGTGATCTTTAGATTTTTGGGCCCCTTTTATTCTCTATACTCTTATATGCACTTTATGAGCAACGGGATTATATATTGTGTTATCTGTTCTAATATGTTTTTAAATCAGACTTCATATTGTTATTGGGGCATTATTATAAATCATATGAAGACAGAGCATGAGTTTTAGTCACAAACATGACAATAAATCAATTAGGATTCTAATATCTCCTTGATTGCATACTCTTAGTAAATTGGCCGAGACTTTATGCTATAGAGAGTGGAGAGACATACATACAAGGAGAGATGTGCGATAGAATAGAATGTAGAGAGAGAAATTTTTTGCTTTTTAATACTAGGTATATATAGGTCGTTGAAAACAAACACCTTTATAAGGTGTTTATTTGAGAAATCACTTAATTTTAAATAATGTGATATGTGATGAGTCCATTTCTCAAATTATTTCTCACATACCATTATCAATTATTAGTTTGTAGGAAATAAGGTGACAATTGATAACTCATTCTATTCTATAAACTA